CACACACACACACACACACACACACACACACACACACACACACACACACACACACACACATATATATATATATATAATTATTGTACGTTATCGGTATACGGAAAATAGGGAATATGAAAAAAAGTTATAGTTATAATAATTCTTTTTCATTTTTAAAAGTGAAATTTCTTTCTATAAAATGAAATGCAATATTTGATTGTCACTGTAGAACGGTAGTTGCGAAAGGTCATGTATATACTTGAATTAGTGTCATAATTATAATCAGGGAAAGCATCGGTGCCAGTCTTAATGTCTAGCTGACTTATGAACCTAAATCTTAAATGTTTAATCATGAAAAGTGTAGCAGAGAGGGCCAGGTTGTAGCTACGAACAGGTGTCAGATATCCTCTACCAGGATAGGCATTTTTCAAGTCGTCGCAGCGCCACCTATATTTATGCCATTATCCGTCGGCAGGATCAGTCTGACCTTAATTGTCAATTCCCTGCGCCGCCATACGTCAAGCAGCGGAACTACTGACCCCGTCGAATACTTGGCAAACTTACATGCAGATTTGTTGATGTTACGTCATGGAACGTCTACGTATTGGATCATTTATTATAGTATAGATCAGATGAGTGAACAATAGTCTCTGATATTACCGTATATGATCGCGTAATAACCGCGGGCGCCTATAAGCCGTACCTCAATTTGAATCGGGTAACCAAGTATTGCGCCTAGTTCAGGTATAAACCGCACGCATAGTTTTGTCTCTCTTTTATACAAATTCGTAAGCAGATTATGAGCACATCACGACATGTTTGAAGAGTTCTTATACAAATTCAAAAATATTTCAATCATAGTTAATACTACATTATCAAAACATTTAGGCAAACACGATTTATGCATTTATTTAATGAACGTTAGATTCACCCATTATCGCCCCCGCGAGTGACAAGACTCAGCAACGATCGATGAACAAATATTTCCCCTCACGGTATATGGCGCACTTATAAACCGCAGAGCAAATACAGGGTTGAAATCTGAGACCAAATTTGCGGTTATTACGCGATCATATACGGTAAGCATAAATAGTATAGCGAGCACCTTTGTTGTATTCAATAGTTCGACAGGGATATTTTCTCCATACTCTAACGACTACGTGTCGCTACTAAGATGTATTGGCTTATAGCCAGGTTTGACCGTGGTAGCAACCAGGTCAAACCGCAGGTTAATATTCAGATTATTATCCAGGTTATTTACTTGGTTATTTTTAAGACATCGTAGCGTAACACTTTACGGCGAACTTGAACAGAAATGAGAGTGTATAAGCATTCACTGTTATTCCCTTGTTCTTGCCTATCTTATATAATGATAATATATCACATGTAAAAACAAATCTTCATGTTTATATCGATTTTCATCCTTGTAGGTAATCTAGCATTCACTAATCATCTCATCACAATCTCATAACCTTCTCCCTAATGATTCTTTTTTCACCTTATTGCCGCATCCCCCGTTTCCAACCGTCTTTGATCACAGTGTTCGCATAACTAGTTTTATAAATTCATATTTAGTTTCGGATTAATTACCAACTGCCGGGGCAGTTGGTAAGTAACACGAAACAAGATTTGAACGTGATCCGAAACGAGATCCGAACAAGAAAACGTCATTATTGATTGCATGATTGTATCTCACAGAGAAACGGATGGTTCGTGAAATAACGTGAATCTGGTAGACCCGCTCTCTGGTTTCCATCCTGACATTCAGACTCCCCCACAGGATGGAAACCAGAGAGCGAGTCTACCAGGTTCACGTTATTTCACGAACCATCCGTTCCTCTGTGAGATACAACCAATAATGACGTTTTTTTGTTTCCTCTGGCATGGTAAATCAGTCACAAAGATTATTATGCTATAAATAGGAAGCTCGTGGGCGTGCAAAGACTGTCACCAGGTGGCGCTTTGAAGTCAACGATGAAAATTTAACGGTCTACCGGCATATCGCCACCGAGTGAGAGTGGAGAGATATTGTCTTGTCACAATAGGCTATATCTCCACGCTAAAATATTCCGTACTCTGGAATCCTTTTATTGTTACATTTTTACCGGACCTCATCTTTTTGTA